TACAATGCGTAAGGAAAATTAGATTGTCATTTTTTTCTTGAGGTGTGTTGATAAGATGTAGAGAACTTTGCATTTTTAGATTTTTATTTGAGACAGAATCTCACTCTGTTGTCCAGGCTGGAGTGCATTGGCATGATCTTGGTTCACTGTACTCTCTGCCTCCCATGTTCAAGCGATTCTCCTGGTTCAGCCTCCTGAGTAGCTGGGATTACAGGCATGTGCCACTACACTTGGCCAATTTTTGTGTTTTTAGTAGAGACAGGGTTTCACCATGTTGGTCAGGCTGGTCTTGAACTCTTCACCTCAAGTAACCCACCTACCTCGGCCTCCTGAAGTATTGGGATTACAGGCGTGAGCCACCACACCCGGCCTCTATTATGTTTTAATATTTGGAAGGGGTAACTTCCCCTCATTGCTTTATTTATTTTTTTATTTTTGCTGCTTTTGTTTTTCCAAGTGAACTTTAAAATCAACTTGTTTAGGATCTCAACTTTTTTATTTTCCAAACAGATGGTATTTTTTATTAGGATCATATTAAAATTATAAATTAAAGGTAAGATAAATTTACATTTTAAGTCATTTTTTATTGTGGTTAGATAAACATAAAATTTTTCACTTTAATCATTTTGAAGTATACAGTTTAGAAGCCATTTTTTAAAAATAATTGTTATTTTTTAGAGACAGGGTCTCTGTCATCTAGACTAGAGTGCAGTGGTGTGATCATAGTTCACTGCAGCCTCAAACTTGTGGGCTTGAGTGATCCTTCCACTTCAGCCTCCCAAATAGCTAGGCCTGCAGACATGTGCCACCACCCCTGGCTGATTTTTTTTTTAAGCTAGTCAAATTTAGCAGTGGGGGCGTTGTACACCAACTTCAGTGACACCAATGTTAAGTTCTGATAACTCATTACCATCAGACCAGCCTTGGCTAATTAAAAAAATTTTTTTTTGTAGAGACAGGTCTTCCTATGGTACCTAGGCTGGCCTCAAACTGGTCTCAAGCAGTCCCCCTGCCTACACCTTACAATGTGCTGAGATTACAGGCATGAGCTACTGCACTGCGCTAGAAGTCATTTATTTTTAATCTTTCTAAGGTAATAGGTAAAAATGGTATCTCAGTGTTTTATTTGTATTTTTTATTATTTATTTATTGAGACAGAGTTTTGCTCTTGTTGCCCAGGCTGGAGTGCACAATCTCGGCCCACTGCAGCCTCCACCTCCCGGGTTCAAGCAATTCTCCTGCCTCAGCACCCCCAGTAGCTGGGATTATAGGCGCATGCCACCAAGCCTGGCTAATTTTCGTATTTTTAGTAGAGACAGGGTTTCGCCATGTTGGCCAGGCTGCTTATCTCAGTGTTTTAACTTGAAAGTCTTTCCGTACTAAAGAAGTTGAATATCTTTCCCATGTGTTTCTCTCTCTTTTTTTCTTTTTTTTTTTGAGATGGAGTCTTGCTTTGTCTCCCAGGCTGGAGTGCAGTATGCAGTCTTGGCTCACTGCAGCCTCTACCTCCTGGGTTCAAGGATTCTCCTGCCTCAACCTCCTGAATAGCTGGGATTACAGGCACATGCCACCATCCCCAGCTAATTTTTGTATTTTTAGTAGAGATGGAGTTTCACCATGTTGGCCAGGCTGGTCTTGAACTCCTAACCTCAAATGAACCAACCAGGTCAGCCTCCCAAAGTGCTGGGATTACAGGCATGAGCCAGTCCCATGTGTTTTTTAACCACTGGTGTTATTTCTTTGGTGATTTGCTGTTTTAATCCTGGGCATTTAGCCTGATAGAATTTACCACGTTTGAATATTTTATGTTAGATATACTGGAGTGCTTGTTAATAAAGAGTTTTGTTGATAATCTGCTCTCTGAATCAACTTTTGTAGTACAGTATTAGTAAGGATCTTTAAGTAATATTAACTACTTTATTGTGGAACTGAGGTAGGGCCACTTAAACCCTAAAGCAGATTTCCTGCCTGGAGAGGCAGTGCATTCTAATGGTCAGTGGCATGGACATTGAAGTCAAAATATTTGTAAAGTCCTTAAAACAGAGGTTGGAATATAATAAGCATGGTATTTATGGTTTGATTTTGTTGTCTTGAGCTGATACAGTAAGAAGAAAAATGGAAGAATTAGTGGGATAGATTGATTCTTTTATAAAATTTACAAGTATTGATCCTCTCTCTTTTTTTCCCATTTAGGTGTGAAATGTTTCTCTTATTCTACGAGTCTGATTGGCCTTACATTTCTGCCATACTTTGTTACACAAAATAATGCTTTTTTTGAAAGTGTGTCTCTGCCTGTTCAAATCATATTTTATGGCATCATAGGAAGCTTTACGTTGATCACCCCAGTGCTGCTTCACTTTATTACAAAAGGCTATGTCATTCGATTGTACCATGAGGCCACAACAGACACTTATAAAGCCATTACCTACAATGCTTTGCTTGCAGAAACGAGTACATTGTTTCACCAGGATGATGTGAAAATTCCAGATGCTACACATGTGTTTACCACATTTTATGCTAAAACAAAATCACTGTTAGTTAATCCAGTGCTCTTTCCAAACCGCGAAGACTTTATCCATCTAATGGGTTACGACAAAGAAGAATTCATTTTGGATATGGAAAAACCCAGTGAAGAGAAACAGCATAAAGATGAGAAATGAGCCTATTTTTAAATGTTCGTGCTTAAATGTGATTTACGTTTTAATGTATAATAATAAAATAGCCTTTTGCATTCTGTTAGTGACTGATTGTTAAATAATTTGAATTAGCAAAGCTTTTAATTTCCAGAGAATGATGTTTATTTATAATAAAACAAGATATGTTTGAAAACCAAAACGTAGTATCTGCCATTCGTGTTTTAGAAAAAGGTATGTGAATAAATATGTTCATGCTGGTATAAGAGTTCTGTATTACTGTGGTTGACTCTAAACTGGGGATCTGATGTCAGTAGCAAATGGGAGAGTTACTTTATTCTTTGTATATGGATTTTTCTAAGTGTATAAATATTTTCTGACATTAAAAGACATTTTCTCTTTGAGGAAGACACAGTCATAGGTGGTGTGGAGCTGTAGTCCACCTGCTCTTGCTCCTGACTCACTGCTCTTTGCTTTAGCCTGAGGACCAAATCTGTCAGGAAGCTGGCTAGGAAGCCTTGCAGCAGCCATGGCTTTTAAAGATACCAGAAAAACACCCGTGGAGTCAGAGGTGGCAATTCACTGAATTCAAATCACTAACGAGTTGCAACGTAAAATCCCTGGATAAGTTGTGTGCTGACTTGATCAGAGGAGCAAAGAAAAAGAATCAGTGAAAGGACCAGTTTGAATGCCTACCAAGACTTTGAGAATCACTACAAGAAAAACTTGTGAAGGTTCTAAGACATGGGATCGTTTCCAGTTGAGAATCCACAAGCGACTCTGACTTGCACAGTCCTCAGATTGTTAAGCAGGTTATTTCCATCAGTATTGAGCCAGGAGTTGAGATGGAAGTAGCCATTGCAATGCTGAAGTCGATTATTTTCATAAATAGATTATCAGTTGTTAAAAATTTTTTTTTAAAACCCCAAAATTTCAAGAAATTCACAAATTATGGGAACAGTTTTAAGTCTCCTTTGGTTCAGAACACAGGTTTTTGCCTAACCCCTGGAATGATTGCCCATAAGAACATTCATGCGCAGTTGAACTGGTGGTTAGCTATAAGGGAAATGATAAGTAGTGTTGTCTTCAGTAGTCTTAATTTGTTTCTCCAACTGTGCACTCCTCCTCTGGTGGCACCCTATGGGTTTAGGAAACCACTGTTACTAAGTAGGTGAAAAATACCTTGTGTAAAATTGCTGTCTCTATGCTAGCTTTGTCAAGAATATCCATTGTAAGATTTTTTACCTCCACTGTAAAGTGGAGATTGACTCTTGCCAAGGATTTTTAGCTAGGAACAAGAGGCCTCAAACCACACTAGATCAGTAGATATTTACTAAGTGCCCAGTACTGTGCTGGTTACTAAGATCATAGTTAAGAACAAAACACCCAGTCTGTCTTTATGGAGCTACCTAACATTGTCTACGGCCACCATGATAGTAAATTTAAACTTTATGGTGTACATGTGTATGAGGGAGGTTGATGGGGAAGCAGTAGGAACATCTGATCAAAGAGATCATTCAATTCCCAGGCTTCTAGAAATTTATTCGTAGGAGATAAGACAGCAAAGCTGTCTTTCTGAGACTTAGAGCCTGCCCTCTGCTTGGATTGTCCAGCTCACCAGACAGAATTCTCACCGCCATTCCTGTGTCATCTTCTGCTCAGGGTGGGTTTCTGCCTGCTTGCTCCTCTGTCCTTTGTCCCCTAGATGTATCCTAGCAATGAATGAGAGATGTCTTTCTTTTTTTTTCATAGCAACCTACTAGATAAGGCAGGCTTGTCCAACCCGCAGCCCAGGATGGCTTTGAATGTGGCCGAACACAAATTCATAAACTTACATTTTATTTTTGAGATATATTTTTTAAACTCATCAGCTATCAGTATATTTTATGTGTGGCCCAAGACAATTCTTCCAACGTGGCCCAGGGAAGCCAAAAGATTGGACACCCCTGAGATAAGAGATATCTTTCTATAAAAAGTTATTCCATGATCAAATGTTTATTATGGATACATTAGAAAGTAGAAGGAAGAAAGAGGCTGGGTCTGGTGGCTCTTGTCTGTAATCGCAGCTACTTGGGCTGAGGTGAGAGACCCGTTTGAACCTGGGGAATCAAGACTGCAGTGAGCTGGGATTGCACCACTGCACTCTATCCAGGGTGACAGAGCAAAACCCCATCTCAAAAACAAAAAAGGAAAAATCAGTCCTAGTTCCCCCTAGAAAAAATTGCATTGTTTACGTTTTAAAGATCTCTTCCAATATTACCTCTCTTCACAACTTAAGTACAATATATTTCTTTATGTTATAAATAAAGTTTTGGTGCCGCAAAAGAAATAGCACTCAAATATAAAATTTTCTTCTTTTCTTCTCAGCAAGGCAGTTTACTTCTATAGAAGACTGCGCCCTCACAGATGGAGCAATGGTGAGTGCACACCTGGACAAGGGAGGAAAAGGGGGTCTTATTCCTGACACACGTGGTCCCTGCTGCTCTGTCGTTCCCCTATTGGCTCCGGTTAGACAGCACAGGCTAAACTAATTCCGAATGGCTAATTTAAAAAGAGCGACAGGGTGAGTGGTTTGGCGGGAAAAATGGTTGTGGAGAATGAGCAGGTAATTGGAATGAGTCAGGGTGGAACAGGTAATCGGAAAAGGTTGGTTTATGAGGAAGTTACGTTTAAAAGTAGAAGGTAATTGAACATACTGACATATTGATTCTTTGAAGAGAAATTTAGAACTCATATCTAACATTTACATGTTCTATATCCATGTGATCATTTTATCACTGTGCTCTCGGTCCTGCAGCTGTGAGGAGGACGCTCTGCAGATTCACTGCTCACTGGCTTCCTCCCCCGTGTCCCTGTGACCGTCCGAGGGGAAGATGGCCTCAGGAGTGCAAGTAGCTGATGAAGTATGTTGCATTTTTTATGACACGAAAGTTCGTAAATGCTCCACACCAGAAGAAATCAAGAAAAGAAAGAAGGTTGTCATTTTTTTGTCTCAGTGCAGACAAAAAGTGCATCATTGTAGAAGGCAAAGAGATGGTGGAGATGTTGGCATAACCATAACTGATCCTTTCAAGCATTTTGTGGGAATGCTTCCTGAAAAAGATTGTTGTTATGCTTTGTATGATGCAAGCTTTGAAACAAAAGAATCCAGAAAAGAAGAGTTGATTTTTTTTTTTGTGGGCACCAGAACTAGCACCTCTGAAAAGTAAAATGATCTATGCAAGCTCCAAGGATGCAATTAAAAAGAAATTTCAAGGCATTTTATCACTGTGGAGTGGAGTGAAAAACTTGTTTTTATTGGTTGATATCAGAATAATTCTTCAGAAAACAACTTGGTAGTCTAGGGGAAAAATATGCTTACACTAAGTGGGAAAGGTGACATCTTAAGGGCATGATCTGGAGTGAGAAACTAGGATAGAGAAAGGATTAGCATGCATAGGATAACAGGATGATTCATCACTGAAATAATCAGCAGAACCAACTCAGGCCAAGGTTAGGAGAAACTTAGGCACCTCCCTCATGCCACTTTGCTACTCTATCCCAGGCAGAGTAATCTCAGGAAGACTGGGAAGGTAATGAATCTCTCACTGTTTAGGGAAAGTGAGTCATTTATTTGCATCACAAAAGCTACCTATTTGCATGTGAAAAGGCAGGGTGATCCTAGCTGACATCTGGGTTACATCAGGTAATAACCCCGTTAACAATAAAATATTGCAATCCTTTTCCCTAATGCAGATTTCACCGCACTGAAAGGCTTTTGGAAGCAAAAGTAACAAGATGACCATTAGATATGAATGACAGTCTTAGCTTGAATGTATTTGTAAAAATTTTATTCTGATTCTTTTAGAACACCTTGTACTTGTTTTTATTTTTATTGAGAATTTCAAACACAGAAGTAGAAGAGTACAGTGAACCTGCATGACTCTGTCATCCAGATTCAACAATGACCAATTTATAGTCAATATTGTTTCATCTAGACCCTAATCATTTCTCCTCTACTTTTTGGGGAAAGCAAATTCCAGTCATAATAATATTTCTTTCTTAAGTATTTACTTTTGTAACTCTACAAGATGAGACTTCTTTAATAATGTAGCCACAATACCATTATCAGATCTACAAAAACGAAACAACCCCACAGCTCTAATGTCATCAATCTATCAGTCTGTTTAAATTTCCAATTGCTTCATAATTTTTTCCCACATTTGGTTGGATTTACGATTCAAATAATCAGACCAGAATGAAGAGTTGGTTAAAAAAATTATATATATGTGTGTGTGTATATATATATATATCTCTCCAAATAAGTTTCATATCTTACACATATCAATTGTTTAAATGGCTTTTAAGACTGTTCTAAAAGACATTTAGAAAGCATTTAGACATTGAGTCTACCCCCTAGACTCAAGCAATCCTCCCACCTCAAGCCTCCAGGGTAGCGGGACTACAGGCGTGTGCCACCATGCCCGGCTAGTTTTTGTATTTTTTGTAGAGACAGGGTTTTACCTGTTGCCCAGGCTGATCTTGAACTCCACCCGTCTTGGCCTCCTAAAGTACTGGGATTACAGGTGTGAGCCACTGTACCGGCCAGGCCTTTCCATTTTTTTTTCCCTTGCAAATTATCTGTTGAAGAAATAACTGTTTGTCACTTAGATCTTCTCATGGTCTAGATTTTCTACTTGTATCCCTGAGCTGTATTTTAACATGTTTCTCTGTCTTCTATATTTCCTATAAATTGATAAGTAGATCTTAAAACTTCACCAGAGTGAGGTTTGATTATTTTGGACAAAACTACTTTTATAGATGATCATATTTGTTATCTTGTTGCATAACGAATTACCCCTAAAACTTACATGCTTAAAGCCACAATAAACATTTCTAACACTGCACAGTGTCTGTAGGTGTGGAAATGAGGAGTGGCCTAGCTGAGTGGTTTTAGCTCAAGCTCTCTCAGGAGGTAGCTGGTGCTGCTGTCATCTGAAGGCTGGGCTGGGGCATGAGGAACCCCCCGTTTCCAAGATGGCTCACTTACAAGACTGAGAGTGTGGTACTAGCTCTTTGGCAGGAGGCCTCCGTTTCTCACCGCATGGATCTCTCTTTAGTGCTTCTTGCTTCTCCCAGAGTAAGTGATCCAAGAGAGTAAGGTTATACAATGTGTTGTGTGACCTACATGAAATTTGCACACTGTCATTTTACAATACTTTATTGGTTACACAGTCAGCCTTATTCGATGTTGGAGGGGATTCACAAGGACCTGTACACCAGGAGGTAAGGCTCATTGGGAGCTATTTGGAGGCCAGTCCCTGTAGTATTCTCCCATTAAGAGGTACATAATGTTGTTTTGTCTTTGTGATGGTAGCAACCATTGATGCTCAATGTGTAAGTCCACCAATTCATTAGATGTTGAAAAACGGTTATATTCTATTATTCCCTTTTCACTTATTAGCTGAAATACTTCTAAAAATAGAGCTAAAAGCACAAGAAGGCAAGAAAAATTTGCCCCTCTCTGCTATTTGGTAACTGAGTAGTTCAGTTTGTGTGGAAAAGTCAGGATAAATGCTTGATTCTGTCCTTTTATTTGCTAGTTTTAAAAATAGATTTGGTTTCCTAGCATCATCTGTTGGTAAGTAGACTTAAAAAATTCGTTATGAGGCTGGGCACGGTGGTTCACGCCTGTAATCCCACCACTTTGGGCACCACTTTAGGAGGCTGAGGGGAGGATTGCTTAAGGCCAGAAGTTCGCGACCAGCCCTGGCAACATAGTGAAACCCTGTCTCTAAGAAAAAACTAAAAAAATTAGCTGGGCATAGGGGTGTATGCCTGTAGTCCCAGCTACTTGGAGGCTCAGGAGGGAGGATTGCTTGAGCCCAGGAGTTTAAGGTTGCAGTGAGCTGTGATCATGCCACTGCCCTCCAGCCTGGGTGAAAGAGGTAGATCCTGTCTCACAAAAATGATAAATAAAATATTATGAGCTTATGGATTTAAATATATTAAAGTATTTCAACTTATTGCAATTACTATCTTATTAATGTTCATATAGTCATATGAATAGGCTAAATAATGGCGCAAAATGTTCACCTCCTAATCACTGGAAGCTGTGAATATTACCTTACATGGCAAAAGGAATTTTGCAGATGTGATTAAATTGAGGATTTTAATTTGGATTGTGCTGAATTACCCAGCTGGGTCCATTGTAATCACTGAGGTCCCTATAAGAAAGAGGCATGAAATCAAAGCAGAAGGTGATGAAGTGGGCCAGGCGCAGTGGCTCAGGACTGTAATCCCAGCACTTTGGGAGGCGGAGGCAGGCGCATCACAAGATCAGGAGTTCAAGACCAGCCTGAACAATATGGCGAAACCCCATCTCTACTAAAAATACAAAAATTAGCTGGGTGTGGTGGCGCATGCCTGTAGTCTCAGCTACTCAGGAGGCTGAGGCAGGAGAATCACTTAAACCTGGGAGGGAGAGGTTGCAGTGAGCCGAGATTGTATCACTGCACTCCAGGCTTGGCGACAGAGGGAGGCTCAAAAAAAAAAAAAAAAAAAAAAAAAAGGATTGAAGTGATGCATTTTGAAGATGGAGAAATACAAGGGTTGTAGCTCTAAAAGCTGAAAAAAGCAAGGAAACATATTCTTCCCCTAGAGTCTCCAGAAGGAAACAGCTCTGTTGACACCTTGACTTTAGTACAGTGAAACTGATTTCAGACTTCAGACCTCCAGAACCGTAAGATAATACATTTACAGTTTTTGTTTGTTTTTTGAGATGGAGTCTTGCTGTGTCGTCCAGGCTGGAGTACAGTGGCACAATCTCAGTTTACTACAACCTCCGCCTCCTGGGTTCAAGCAATTCTTGGGCCTCAGCCTCCCGAGTAGCTGGGATTACAGGCGCCTGCCACCACTCCTGGCTCATTTCTTGTATTTTTAGTAGAGATGGGGTTTCACCACGTTGGCCAGGTTGGTCTCAAACTCCTGACCTCAGGTGATCCGCCCGCGTTGGCCTCCCAAAGTGCTGGGATTACAGGCATGAGCCACTGTGCCCAGGCTATGTTGTTTAAAGCCATGAAATCTTTTGGCAATTTGTTACAGCCATTATAGGAAACTAGAAACACCTGTCTTTGGTCAGTGGCACCATCTTCAAATTGGTTATCTAATATAACAAAGTGTTTTAGGCTCATTTTGTACATTTTCTACCCCAGACTCCAAGGAGTGCTGGTTGCTAATAGTGGGAAATGGTATTTTGAGACTGCTAAGGGTGTTCATGGGATTTTGCCTTTTTTTCCCATCTTTTAAATTTATTTTAAAATTGTGTTTTTTAAAGAATTTACTATCTTAACCAGTTTTAAGCATAGAGTTCAGTGGTGTTAACTATATTCACATTGTTGTGCAACAGATCTCTAGAACTCTTTCATCTTGTCAACCTGAGACTCTATGCCCATTGAACAACTCCCTATTTCCCCCTCCTCCCTTGGACTTTTGCATTTTTGAAAATGGCAGGGCCAACAGCCATGGCTCAAACCTGTGGTCCCAGCTGAGCCCAGGAATTTGAGGCTGCAGTGTGTTAGGATCACACCTGAGAATAACCACTGCACCCCAGCCTGGGCAACACAGTGAGACTTTGTCTCTAAAAAAATGGAAAGAAACACACTTCTGTTGTAAAATATTTTTACCAACATATTATTTTCTTCTTAAGTGTGCAGATTTTTAGCCAAAATTCCATGCCATTTTTGGCTACTAACCCTAAACTATATCCTATAAAGGATTTCAAGTAGCAAAATATCTAAAGGAATAGCTGGCTTTCTAAAATGGAGTCAGAGTTTTGAAATGAAATACATGTCACAACAAAATGATGACATTTCATTATCAGGACTCAAAATGTTCTCTTGAGGTCTAGCTTGTTGTAGGTGAATGCATTATTAAGACTGGTGGAGTCCCTGCCCACAGCACAGAATTACAGCTAGTGTCCCCTGTTTGGGGTCTTATCTGGCCCTGTTGTGTCCTGTAACTAAACCTGCTGCTGAAAAGAAATAGTTCCCATGAGACTGTTCACTTCAGATCCATAAGTGCAGCTCTCTGGGCCATGATAATTTGATTTGTTGTTGTTATTGTTGTTTTTTGAGATGGAGTCTCGCTCTGTCACCCAGGCTGGAGTGCAATGACATGATTTTGGCTCACTGCAACCTTCACTTCCTGGGTTCAAGCAATTCTCTTGCCTCAGCCTCCTGATTAACTGGGACTACAGGCACTTGCCACCACACCTGGCTAATTTTTGTATTTTTAGTAGAGACAGGGTTTCACTGTGTTGGCCAAGCTGGTTTCAAACTCCTGACCTCAGGTGATCTGCCCACCTTGGCCTCCCAAAGTGCTGGTATTTACAGAGGTGAGCCACTGCGCCCGGCCTGTTTGTTTGTTTTTGAGACGAAGTCTCACTCTGTCGCCCAGGTTGGAGTGCAGTGGCCCGATCTTGGCTCACTGCAACCTCTTCCTCCTGGGTTCAAGCGATTCTCCTGCCTCAGCCTCCCGAGTAGCTGGGACTACAGGTGTGCACCACCATGCCTTGCTAATTTTTGTATTTTTAGTAGAGACAGAATTTCACCATGTTAGCCAGGCTGGTCTTGAACTCCTGACCTCAAGTGATCCACCCGCCTTAGTATCCCAAAATGCTGGGATGACAGGCATGAGCCACCATGCCTGGCTGAGAATTTGTTTTATAAAGTAGGAGTCCCCATCCGCTGGGAGCCGTGGACTAGTACCAGTCCATGGCCTGTTAGGAATCTGGCTGTGGCTTGTTAGGAACTGGGCTGCACAGCTGGAGGTGAGCAGCAGGTGAGCGAGCATTACCACCTGAGCTCCAGCTTCTGTCAGACCAGCAGCAGCATTACATTCCCAGGGGGGAGCAGGAACCTTGTTATGAAGTATACATGCAAGGGATCTAGGTTGCATGCTCCTTATGATAATCTAATGCCTGATGATCTGGGGTGGAACAGTTTCACCCCAAAACCATCCCTCCCAATCCCCTCAGTCCGTGGAAAAATTGTCTTCCAAGAAACTGGTCCCTGAGGCCAAAAATGTTGGGAACTGCTGGTATACAGAGCTGTGGGAGAGAAGAGCAATGCAGAGGGAAAAGGAGTTCCTGTCTGTTGAGACTTTCAGGGGGACCTAGGGACTGGTTTTGTTACAGTTGACTGGGAAGTGTCTTGTTTATTTTATTTTATTTTTCATTTAAAATATTTTTTTGAAATGGAGTTTTGTTGCCCAGGCTGGAGTGCAGTGGTGCCATCTCGGCTCACTGCAACCTCTGCCTCCCAGGTTCAAGTGACTCTCCTTCCTTAGCCTTCTGAATAGCTGGGATTACAGGCGTGCGCCAACCGCACCTGGCTAATTTTTGTATTTTTAGTAGAGATGGGTTTCACCACGTCAGCCAGGCTGGTCTTGAACTCCTGGCCTCAAGTGATCCACCTGCTTTGGCCTCCCAAAATGCTGGGATTACAGGCGTGAGCCACCACACCTGGCCAAAGTGTCTTGTTTTATTTTTAAGGCTTTGATCACTCTCATTTACAGTAAGTATTTGAAGAGTACATTCTAAATCATTTTTCTCTCTTCCTTTGCAGGAAGTGCTCAAATGTTAAGCACACACACACACACACACACAAAGAGGAAACAGTTGGATAGGAACTCAGAAATCATGTGACCGATGACTAAGTTAAATATTTTCTGCTTACTGAAAAGGAAGAGTCTGATGATTACCTATTGATCCTCTTTGCATTTGTAAAGTTTTGGAGATATTGAATCATGTTACCATTTCTGTTTTTTTCCACCCTATTTTCTTTCATATTTACTGAAGCTCAGAAGCACTATTGGGTCTGCAACTCATCCGACGCAAGTATTTCATACACCTACTGTGGTAAGTAAAACTGCAAAACAAATAATTGTAGCATCAACTATTTTGAGGGTAAGTTTTCACAAGAACCTTACACTGTTGTGGCTGGAACACAGGAAATGTCAGTGTGTTCCAGCTGCTGTGGCGGACGCCGCCAGCAGGAAAAGCAATAGCTGGCAGCTACCCCGTGAGAATCTTTTCGACCCTTCACAGAGCTCGCGAGTCTCTAAACTGTGCTGTGCTTGACCTCCAAGTGCTTCTGTTCCCTGTGTCATCTTTCTCTACCCTGAGCCCAGTTTCGGGTTCTGCCCAGTTTCAGTAAAACCGTCTGCTTCTGAGCTTTTGCCTCAGCCTTGACACTTACTAGTTCTTCTTCTTGAGATGGTAGAGCAATCCCAGCTGCTTCCTGTAGTTGATTTCTGCTCCAAGCTGTGACTTTTGAGGGCTCTTGGAATCATCTCCCTAACTGGATGTAAGCCTGTTTCTGTCACTAGCTGTGTGACCTTAAGCAAAGTACTCCAGCCTTTTTAGCACTAACGTAAAAGTTTATAGCCTACTTGATAAGGGTGTTGTGAGGTGAAGTTTTTTAGCACAGGGTCACGTAAAGACAATACTCTTAATTTTTTTTTGGAGTCAGCCATACCCTAGTGCTATTCACTGGCTGTATCACTGTCTGCTGCCCCAGCTGCTCATTAGCAAGCGTCCTCGGGTCTGAAGGCACAGTGTCAGGCCTGACAGCTGTTTTGGTTCGGTACTTTCCACCGTGCGGCTCACCATGGATTGGCTGCCCTTTTCCACCCGCTGGCACTATCCGGAAGGTTTAAAGTGGTGCTTCCCAAAATACCAGTTCTTTGAGATTCTTTTGGGAAAATAGGATCTATGGCCTAATCATCTGGGAGAGATTTACAGATGTACTTTGAGTTCTGAGAAGTTCTGCAGTAAAGGCACCTGTTTAACCACAACATTTTCAATTTCATTTGTTGTTTGTTTGGTTTTTAGTCTGGAGTGTATGTTAACTCTCTTGAGAAACATGCTCTGCCAAATGCTAATATAAAGTGACTTTCGGGAAATTGGGATAATTGCCACATGTGAGAAGGAGACTTAGGAATGTGGCCAGTCACACACCATGGCCCTTCTTCTCCTGGTGGGTTGCACTGAATTCCCTCTCAACGTATCTCTAAAATCTCCCCATGCTACAAGATCCTTTTGCATTCCGCTCTTCCAGCAAGGCTCCTACTCTACTTGGCCCCCATTTCCCTTTCCTCCTTTGGCCCTTTTGTACCATGTGCGAATTACGCCACTCTGTGTGTGTGTGCATGTGTGTGTGTGTGCGAACGCATGGAGTTTTGCTCTGTTGCCAGGCTGGAGTGCGGTGGCATGATTTTGGCTCATTGCAACCTCTGCCTCCCAAGTTCAAATCATTCCCCTGCCTCAGCCTCCTGAGTAGCTGGGACTATAGGTGCATGCCACAACACCTGGCTAATTTTTGTTTTTTGTATTTTAGTAGACACAGGGTTTCACCATGTTGATCTTGTGATCTGCCCCCACCGGCCTCCCAAAGTGCTGGGATTACAAGCATGAACCACCTCACCTGGCTTATGCCACTCTTTATATGATCTTTATGGATATAACATTTTGTATTATTATTTAGCTTTTAGTCTTTTCTTAACAATAACTCAATTTGTCTTTTAAAAACATTTCACATTTTGTAATATTTTATCATTTATTTTTGAGACAGGGTTTTGCTCTGTTGTGCAGGCTGGAGTGAGTGGCATGATCTCCACTAACTGCAACCTACACCTCCCTGGCTCAGGCCATCCCCCTAGCTCAGCCTTCCTAGTAGCTGGGACTATAGACATGTGCCACCACGTGTCTTGGTTAATTAATTAACTTGGCTAATTATTAATTAATTATTATTTCTTTTGAGTTTCACTCTTGTTGCCCAGGCTGGAGTGCAATGGCGTGATCTTGGCTCACTGCAACAACTGCCTCCCGGGTTCAAGCGATTTTCCTGCATCAGCCTCCTGAGTAACTGGGATTATAGGTGCCCACCACCTATAATTTTTGTATTTTTAGTAGAGACAGGGTTTTGCCATGTTGACCAGGCTGGCCTCGAACTCCTGACCTCAGGTGATCCACCCACCTCGGCCTCCCAAAGTGTTGGGATTACAGACGTGAGCCACCACAGCTGGCCTAATCATTAATTTTTTTGTAGAGATGGAGTCTTGCTATATTGCCCAGGCTGGTCTAGAACTCCTGGGCTCAAGAGATTCTCCCACCTTGGCCTCCCAAAGTCCTGGGATTACAGATATGAGCCACTGCACCTGGCTTAAAATTTCACATTTTAATCACTTTTGAGTGTTTGGCTCAATTGTATTAAGTATATGCACATTGCTGTGAAACCATCACCATTTGTTTATCTTTTTATTTGACTTTCTAATTTTTTTTTTCTTTGAGACAGTCTCACTCTGTCTAGACTGGAGTGCAGTGGTACGATCTCAGCTCACTGCAACCTCTGCCTCCTGGGTTCAAGCAATGGTCGCGCCTCAGCCTCCTAAATAGCTGGGATTACAGGTGTGCACCACCATGCCCGGCTAATTTGATTTGACTTTATGAAGGAGGATCTTCCTTCTTTCTCTCTGAGAAATCCTGTGGTCCTTTCTTGCTGCCCCACTGACAAAGGGACTGTGGGCAAGCCACTGGAATACACATCTGCAGCAAGATGCTGCTTGCTGCCGTCCCCACTGCCATATGACTGCCTTCCCGGCCTGAGAGAATCCATCCCACCAGGCCAAAAATGCAATATCTGTGGGAAGCACTGATTCCTCTAGGTACTATTGTGATTCCTCTAGGTACTATTGTGAGGGTGTTGGTGACAACAACCTCTGATTCACTGTGACGATGATCTCCATGAAAAAGCAGAGCTAGATTTCCATTTGGTCAAGCTGCTGGGCATCTAAGTGTATGGTTTTTTAAGCACAGGGTCTTGCTCTGTCACCCAGGCTGGAGTGGAATGGTACAATCATGGCTCACTGCAGCCTCAAACTCTGAGGCTCAAGTGATTTTCCCACTTCAGCCTCCCAAGTAGCTGGGACGACAGGCCTGCACCATCATGTCTGGCTAATTTTTAAATTTTTTGTAGTGACGGAGTTTTGCCATGTTGTCCATGCTGGTTTTGAGCTCCTGGACTTAAGCAATCTCCCTGCCTCAGCTTCCCAAAGTGCTGGGATTACAGGCCTGAGCCACTGATTCAGGGCTACAGTGTCTTCATTAGTTCAGGTGCCATAACAAAATACCACAGACTGGATGGCTTAAACAACAAACATTTATTTTTTCACAGTTCTGGAGGGTAGAAGTCCAAGATCAAGGTATCTGCATAATTGGGTTCTCCTGAGACCTCTCTCCTTGGCTTGCTGCTGTGTTTTGAATTTTGTGCCCTTGCAGACTCATGTTGAAATTTAATTGCCATTGTGATGATATTAAGAGGTGGGACCTTTAAAAGGTGATTAAGCCATGGAGGCTTTTCCTCTCATGAATAAATTAATGTCATAATTGAGGGAGTAAGTTTCTTATAAAAGGACAAGTTTAGCCCCCGTATGTCTCTTGCTTTTGCCCCCTCTTGCCCTTTTGCTCCTCCACCACCAGATGAGACAGCAAGAAGTCCCTTGTCAGATGCCAGTACCTTGACATGGAACTTACCAGCCTCCAGAACTGTGAGAAATAAATTTCTGTTCTTTTTTTTTTTTTTTTTTTTTTTGAGATGGAGTCTCACTCAGTCGCCCAGGCTGGAGTGCAGTGGCGCGATTTCGGTTCACTGCAAGCTCCACCTCCGGGGTTCACGCCATTCTCCTGCCTCAGTCTCCCGAGTAGCTGGGACTACAGGCACCCGCCACTACGCCCGGCTAATGTTTTTGCATTTTTAGTAGAGATGGGGTTTCACTGTGTTAGCCAGGATGGTAAATTTCTGTTTTTTATGAAGTACCCAGACACCAATATTTATAGCAGCACAAAGTGGACTAAGACACTCGCAGCTGGCTGCTTTCTCACTGTGTCCTCACACGGCCTTTCCTCTGTGTGTGCACATCCCTGGTGTCTCTTTGTGTGTCCAAATTTCCTCTTCTTGTAAGGACACCAACAAGATTGGATTAGGGCCCATCCTAACAGCCTCATTTTAACTTAATTACCTCTTTAAAGGCACTGTCTCCAAATGCAGTCACATTCGGAGGGACTGGAGCCTCACCATATGAATGGGGATGGGGGAATGAGGACACATTTCTGTCAGTCCATAATATACAGAAATGACAAAAATTGGCTGATTTATTCTCCCAATTTTGGGAAAGGCAAAAAATGTGGGTGTGTGGGTTGGTTTCCAGGGCCTTAGGCACAGCTCTCCTATGATCCCGAGTCATTGATCTCAGTTCTAATCTTTTTTTTTGCTACAGATAGTTAGAAAATCCAAGGAATTAATAGATTATTTAATGAAACCAATATTCTCTGAGCATTTAGCATGCACCTACTCTAGGAACTGAGGAGATAATTGAATTAACAACAAAGACAAAAGTCCCTGCCCTTATGGATTCAGTAAAATATTCAGCATGTCAGATGGTGGTAATTGCTGTGAAAGAAAAATAAGGCTGGGGGGTGCGGGGTAGAGGGTGCAAAGATGCAAAGGTGGAGAAGCTGGGGGGCTGCATTTTAAATCAGGATGGCCAGCCAGATGTGATGGCACTCACCTGTAGTATAGCCCAGCTACTCAGGAGGCTGAGGCAGGAGGATGGCTTGAGCTCAGGAGGTCAAGGCTGCAGTGAGCCATGTTTGTGCCGCTGCACTCCAGTCTGGGCAACAGAGCAAGATCAAACCTCACTAATTTTTAAATTTTTTGTAGAGACAGGGTCTTGCTGTGCTGCCCAGGTCAGTCCCAACCCCTGGGCTCAAGCAATTCTCCTGCCTCGGCCTTCCAAAGTGCTGAAATTACACGCATAAGCCACTATGCTAGGCCTAAAACCTGTTTCTTTTCTTTCTTT